TTCAGAGCAATCGGGAGCTTGTGACTACCTCCTGATTCAAAGAGACAGCCGCATCCTCAGGTGCCAGCCCCTTTCCGCGCGCGCTCGAGCCTCTACAGTTTACTTTTGTAGCTCCTCTGAGTCTCAGTGTGCTTTTCTCTTTCCTTCTAGTTGTAGAATTTCCATTCAGCCAGCCTTCCTGTGGTTCTGAATGATGTCCGTTTTGTCGTATTTTTGAAGTTGTGGGAGGCAGCACTTTCTGGTGTTTACCTATGCCGCCATCTTGGTTTCTCCCACCCAAGGATATTTTTTGCACTGATTTTTAGGGAGAGAGAAAGAGAGAGAGGAGTGTGTTTAATAGTGTGTTCATCTAAGTTTCTCCTGGAATAGTGATTTTTCATAAACCATCGGGGTATTTGTTATTAATTTGAGAGTTTAAATGTATAGAATCTCACAGCACTTACTACCTCATTAATACAATTACTGGTTGATGTTTCTTTCTCTGCTAAAGTGTGATCGCCGTAAAATGAGTATAATACTAGGACTACGTCATAGGGATGTTGTAAGGGTTACAGAGGTCCAGGACCTTGCATTTAGTAAATGCCAGATAAATATTAACTGATAATTTTATCCCAGCCCATGGCATGTTTATTGAATGGTTAGTTATCCCATCATGCTACCTTTTTTCTAACTGTGATGAAAGAACACATAAGATAAAATTTACCGTAATAACCATTTGTAAGTGTATGAGAATAATGTTATATTCTCATTAGCGTGCAGATCTCTAGAACATTTTCATCTTGCAAAACTGAAACTCTATACTTATTGAACAACTCCCCATTTCCTCCTCCCTCTCTCATGCCACCTCAACTCATTCAGCAAATATTTATTGAGCACCTGTTCTAGGTCAGGTACTATGGTGGGTCTTTGGAAACAGGCAAGGCAGAGAATGTTCCTGCCCATACATGGCTTATTTTAGTGGGAAGAGAGTTGGTAAGCACCTGGGATAGTGCTAAGAAGAAAATGAAACTGTGAATTCCATTGATTATAAGATGGACCTTTTTTCACATTTAACATATCTGGAATTGGGGTGATTTTCCTAATCGATCACAAATTCTCAAAGGAATTTTTTTCTTCACTCAGGGTCGTTTGATGCAAGCATCCTTACTTGCAGTCCCTTTCTGCATGGCAGGCTTATTTCTTGTTTACCTTGTATGTGGTTGTTGCTCTTTGATGCCCGAGCTTTGAATGTGGAGTCTCCTATTAGACTCTTCATCTAGGGTATTTTTTTGTTCTTAGAAGTACATAACACTATGGTTCATCTTACAATCAGTGGTGTCTTAGATTCAGTGAAATACAGTAACAGTAGTTTACTGCAGGGTTGAATTGAAGTACTCGGGTGCAATAAGGAAATGCCCCATGGAAATAGGCTTCAAGTTGTGTTCATGAACCCAAGGGCTCCTCTGATGGGGCAGGTAGTGGCACAGCCAGCCCCAGCTCCCCCTCAGTTCAATTAAAGAGTTTCTGCTTTTGTCTGTGTTGAGTATTAAGTTCCTTGAAGGACTCATTTAAAAAATTTGCTGCTACCTAAAGTTTGAAACCACTGTCCTATGAACATGAACTAGTTTCTACTTGTATAGGTAGGAGTGTAAGGATAGTTGCGGAGTTATAATTTCACTCTCCCTCCTCACCCAAACACATATAACTGAGAGTCTTGAAATATGGGAGTTGGTTCTAGCTTGGCCACAACTACTTATAGCTTCCCTAGATATCTCAGCTTTTTTTTTTAATTGTTCTTTTTTAATGTTTTTGTTGATTTTCGAGAGAGGGAGACAGAGAGAGGTAGAAACATCAGTGATAAGAGGATCATTGATTGGCTGCCTTCTGCATGTGCCCTGACCGGAAATTGAACCTTGAACTCCTGGTTCGTTGGTCAACGCTCAGTCACTGAACCACACTGGCAAGGGGGTGTCAGCTTTTTTATCTGTTAAGATAATTACACGGATTAATCATTTGGCCTTTTATTTAATTTTTTTAAAAAATATATTTTATTGATTTTTTACAGAGAAGAAGGGAGAGAGATAGAGAGTTAGAAACATCGATCAGCTGCCTCCTGCACATCCCCCACTGGGAATGTGCCTGCAACCCAGGTACATGCCCTTTACCGGAATCGAACCTGGGACCCTTCAGTCCGCAGGCTGACGCTCTATCCACTGAGCCAAACCGGTTTTGGCCATTTGGCCCTTTAATTGTTGGAAATCTCACTACAGATTTCTAGCACTTCTCTCACACTAAATACATAATAAATGTTGGTCATGGTGGTTGAGCTGAAACTCTGCCATGAATTATGAAAATGTAAGGTTTTATCTTTCAATTTGGTAGGTTTACACCCACAATATAAACCTGGCTTTTGAAGGCAAGAGTGGACTCTTCAGTAATAATAGCTGCTACCATCCATATAGCACCTACTATAGTGCAATCTATGGATGCAGTCCCCTTCCACCTTCGGAAATGTATTAAGTGAGTTACATTTTCGTCTGTTCAATAGGAATGCTGACAGCTTAGTTCTAATTTTGCTTGACTTTTTTTTGTTATAGAGAAGCAGAAATGAGAAACAGTATCTTAGCCCAAGTTCTGGATCAGTCAGCCCGGGCCCGGTGTAAGCATCTTCAGTTTCTTTTAAGTTATTTTCATAAAATTGGCTGGGGTTAGTTGAATGGGAAGATATGAAATTATTGCTATCTGTAGATTAAATATTTAACCTATAAACACTTAAAATATAGATATTTGTAAGAAATGTGCAGTTTGTAAACCTAAAGAAATGGACTTAAATTATTAAATGTACCTGCTTGGTTCTCTCCTATCAAGGAGATAATTTCCCAAGTGCTTATTAGGTAAAATATATAGACAACAAGTCTTAAGTCAATTACAAAGTGTTGCTGATAGTTGACATATGTGATAGGATATTGAGGGGCTTATTTATTTATTTATTTTTGGAGTTCTTTTTTTTTAATTTATTGATTTTTTTACAGAGAGGAAGGGAGAGGGATAGAGAGTTAGAAACATCGATCAGCTGCCTCCTGCACACCCCCACAACCAACGTACATGCCCTTGACCGGAATCGAACCTGGGACCCTTGAGTCCGCAGGCTGACGCTCTATCCATTGAGCCAAACCGGTTAGGGCTGGAGTTCTTTTTTAAACAAATATGTTTTTATTGATTTTAGAGGGAGAGGGATAGAGAGATTGAAACATTAATCAGCTGCCTCCAGCACGCCTCCTGGGGATGGAGCCCCGCAACGTGGGCATGTGCTCTGACCGGGAGTCGAACCAGTGACCTCTGGGTTCAGATCTTGGTTCATGGGTTGACGCTCAACCTCGGAACCACACTGGCCAGGCTTAGTTCTTTTTTTAAGTTAATTTTGCCTGGCTGGCATGGCTGGTTGAGCATGGACCTATGAACCAGGAGGTCACGGTTCGATTCCCAGTCAGGGCACACACCCGGTTTTCAGGCTCCATCCTCAGTGTGGGGCATGTAGGAGGCAGCCAATCAATGATTCTCATCATTGATGTTTCTATCTCTCCTGGGTCTCCCTCACTTCCTCTCTGAAATCAATAAAAATATATTAAAACAAAAAAGAAAACTTTATTTAAAAAAAATTGAGTTAATTTTTTTTTTCTATCGCCATTTATCCTTCTATGGTTTGAGAGATTTATTGTATTCTCCATTTTAGTTAATAATTTTTCATATTTAAAAACCGAAGAGAAAACGATGTAGAAAACAAATGAACCAATTGGAATGAACTAGTATCTTCTTGAAGCCTAGCTTAGAATAGGCAGTCTTATATAGATACTGATTATATCTGTAGTAATATGTAACATATTTTCCAGAATGCAATCATACATATTTTTAAAAAGCATGGGGTTAAGAAAAATTGAAACAAAAAGCATGAGCTTAGACTCTGAGAACCCAAATTTAATCTTGGCTCTGCCACTACTTCTGTGTGGCCTTGACATGGCTGAACTTTAGTTTCCTCATTTTTAAGAGGGTCACAATACCTCCTGCCACCCCTACCTTCCTAATTTCAAGACATAAATAAGTCTGTGAAGTGCTTTGGAAATGTTGGTGCTTATTTTTGTTACAATATAAGTGCATTTAGTCTTGACGTTTTTTGTATTTTTTTTCTTTTTAGTAAGTAACTTAGCACTTGTAAAACCCGAGAAAACTAAAGGAGTAGAGAATTACCTTATACAGATGGCAAGATATGGACAACTAAATGGGAAGGTAAGCTTAGGACTGTCTTGAGGTAGTTTTACCTGTTGTTGTCTACTTTATCCAAACATGTCTTCAAAAGGTAATTTCGCTGTGGTCAGGTAGCTCAGTTGGTTAGAGCACCATCCTGATATGTCAAGGTTGTGGGTTCAATCCCTGGTCAGGGTACATACAAGAATCAACCATTGACTGCTTTTTTTTTTTTTTAATATTTTATTGATTTTTTACAGAGAGGAAGGGAGAGAGATAGAGAGTTAGAAACATCGATGAGAGAGAGACATCGATCGGCTGCCTCCTGCACATCTCCCACTGGGGATGTGCCCACAACCCAGGTACATGCCCTTCACCAGAATCGAACCTGGGACCTTTCAATCCGCAGGCCGACGCTCTATCCACTGAGCCAAACCGGTTTCGGCGACTTTTTTATTTATGTTTAAATACGATTTTATTGACTTTTAGAGGAAGGAGGAGGGAGGGAGACAGAGAGAGAGATCAGTGTGAGAGAGAAATAGAATCATACCTTTTGGTGCATGGATGACACTCAACCAACTGAGCCACATCGGTCAACGCTCTTTTTAAAAAAAATATGTGTTTATTGATTTCTTTAGAGAGAAAAAATGATGTGAGAGAGATACATTGATTGGTTGCATTCCATAAGCACCCTGACTGGGGATCAAACCCCCAACGTGGGTATGTGCCCTGACATGGACTCCAACAGGTGACCTTTTTTTTAAAAAAATATATTTTACTGATTTTTTACAGAGAGGAAGGGAGAGGGATAGAGAATTAGAAACATCGAAGAGAGTGAAACATTGACCAGTTGCCTCCTGCACACCCCACACTGGGGATGTACCCACAACCCAGGTACATGCCCTTGACCAGAATCGAACCTGGGACCCTTCAGTCCGCAGGCCGACGCTCTATCCACTGGGCCAAACCGGATAGGGCCAGGTGACCTTTTTGATGTATGGGACAACACTCAACCAACCGAGTCACCCAGCCAGGGCTTGCTGACTATTTCAAAGAGAGGACATTTTTCATCAATTTTGAGAGAGAGAGAGAGAGACAGACAGACACACACACACATCATCAACCGGTTGCTTTCCATACATACCCAAACTTGGGATTGAACCGGCAACCTAGGCATGTGCTCTGACTGGGAATCCTGAGTCCTCTTGGTGCATAGGAGGATGCCCTGACCAACTGAGTGAGCCACATTGGCCAGGCCTCAAGGAAGGAATTTTTAAAGGTGAGAATAGTTGGATCTACCATCAATCCTAAAAGATATCCTAATTGCCTTTCCTAAGATCCTCTGCTTCTTTTCTTTCCTGACATTGTTGTGGAATCTTGTTGGTGTCTGTATGACCCAATGACTATCAGGGTTAGCTGGCTTAAATTGCTTCTATACTGGAAACAAGGTTTCTCAATAACACAAATTAAGTCAGGTAGGTCAGTTGTTTGGAACATCGTACCTACATGCCAAGGATGCCAGTTTGATTCCCACGGGTTCAATTCCAGGACAAGGCACATATGAGAATCAACCATGAATGCATAAATAAGTGGAACAACAAAATCAATGTTTCTCTTCTTCTCTCATATCAACTTAAAAAAGAAAAACTGATTCACTACTAGTATAGGTAGACATTAAACTTGTTTTGCAAATGAGGAGGTGCTAAAATTCTGGTTATTATGTGTGTTGCAAGACTGTCCTTCAGGATGCAGATGCACCCCGTCTGCACTGGGAAGCCCTCTGTTGCCACCACAGCCTGCAGGGATCAGTCCTACCCTGAACCCCTTACTCTAAGAAAGGTGTGTGGAAGAGACAATGACTGGTTCATCCTTTTTGAATGACTTATCTGCTGCATTTAAGCTTCTCAGGGTCTCAAGAGCAGAGTTAGTGTGTCTCTTTCATTGACACAATAGAGGGTTGAAGGTGGCTGTCTATGTCTGCTAGTAGTGATAAAGGTGTTCTTTTTAAAAAATATATATTTTTATTGATTTCAGAGAGGAAGGGAGAAGCGGGGAGAGAAACATCAATGATGAGAATGAATCATTGATCGGCTGCCTCTTGCACACTCCCTACTGGGGATCAAGCACGCCACCCAGGCATGTGCCCTTGACAGGAATTGAACTGGGACCCTTCAGTGTGCAGGCTGATGGCTCTATCCACTGAGCTAAACCGGCTAGGGTGATAAAGGTGTTCTCAAATACCTGTTTACTTTGGATTTTTCTTTTTTTTTTATTAAAATATATTTTTATTGATATCAGAGAGAAAGGGAGAGGGGGAGAGAGAAACACCAATGATGAGAATGAATCACGGATCAGCTGCCTCCTGCACACCTCCTACTAGGGATCAAGCCCACAACCTGGGCATGTGCCCTTGACTGGAATTGAACCCAGGACCCTTGAGTTCACAGGCCAACGCTCTATCCACTGAGCCAAACCAGCTAGGGCAAACTGGATTTTTCTGAGGATGTTAATTGATGGATACTTTCCCCCCTCCTCAAATGACTAGCAGAGCAAATTCTAATACAAAAACTAATACAGGTATACCTCAGAGATATTTCAAGGTCGGTTCCAGGCTACTGCAATAAAGCTAGTCATAATCTTTTTGCTGGAGGGTCTTGCCTTCATCTTGTAAAATATGCAACATGTTCTGTGAAGTGCAATAATGGGAGGCACAATAAAACGAGGTATGCCTGTAGTTATAACTGGTAGTTGCAACCTCTTGTCCCACCTCTCTTCCCTCTTGACCTCTACCTCCACACCCCAGAAAGACTAAAATGATTCAATCTCCTGAGGTCAATTCTTTGTTTACAAAAAGTACTGTTTTTCTTTTTGGTTATCCTAGGTAACAGAACAAGGTTTAATAGAAATCCTTGAAAAAGTAAGCCAACAAACAGAAAAGAAAACCACAGTTAAAGTAAGTTTCCCCAAATGCATATGGCAGAAGAGAAAGATTGGTATTTTAAATGTGTTGACTATACACCTACTGTATCAAAATATGTTTTAGCCCATAGACATTTCCATTTTGTAACACATGGAAGTTTGGGGAGCAGGGCTTGCATATATTGAGGGGTCTAATTTTTAAGGCTCTTGTTTCATCGTTCCCCCTTTCCTTATATCTAAAACTCTTTTAAGTTGTTTTAAAGATAGACAAAAATGTCTTGCTGTAGTAGGTAGAGATATTTCTTCTCAGAAAATCTGAGTTGTGCTTTATTAAACAGGTAATAACACTTGCTTAATCTCCCTCCCCCCAGTTCAACAGAAGAAAAGTAATGGACTCTGATGAAGATGACGATTATTGAATTTAAGATGCATAGACTGGAACTTAATGGAACAATTCCAGGACAGATAATACTTGGCAGTTAAGATCTGATTGAATGTTCACTTTGTTTATTGTTTATATACCTTTAGAAAAATAAACTTGTGTAAAATAAAACAATTTGGGCAAAGTCATTTTAGTACTGTGGCTGAATCAACAGAAGATCTGCATTTTGCATTTTTTCCTTTCCTACCAAAAACTTTTAAATGTGTAGCAGCATGAATATATCCTTTGTAATTGTGACATTAGTGTTAGGGAAGAAAATGGCCATAGCAGAAATAGAAGCTGCTCAAGTAGGCTTCAGTAAGAACAAAATAGCATCCAGTAATGTCATGGGAGTTAAAACCTGTGGATTAAGCTAAGTCAACTTTAATATCTAATATTTCTAAGACATAGGTTCTGAAAGCAGGTGAGCTATTTTTCTCCCTGCAAATAGTACTTACATTTAATGTAAGACTATTCCTAGCTTTGGTTTCATTTATAATCTGCTTTTCAAAGGCATCAAAGTATATTAAATTATCTATTACCCTTATCCAAAAAAACCTCCATAACTAGAGTGATATTTCCATTGAAAAGAATTCCTAAAATAACTAGAAAATACTGGTAATAATACTTCAACAATAATAAACATGTCTGTAAGTAAGAGAAATAACTTCTAATGATTAAAATCTAATTGAGAAAGTTTAAAAAATTACCTTTTGCCCTAGCTGGTTTGGCTCAGTGGATAGTGTCGGCCTGCAGACCGAAGGGTCCCAGGTTTGATTCCAGTTAAGGGCACATGACCAGGTTATGCACTTGATCCCCAGTGGGGGTGGTACAGGAGGCAGCCCATCAATGATTCTCTCATCATTGTTGTTTCTATCTCTCTCACTCTCCCTTCTCTGAAATTAATAATAATATATATGTATGTGTGTGTGTGTGTGTGTGTGTGTAAAAGAAAAAACTTAAAAAAAATATATAAAATGAAAATAGTTAACCTTTTGGTAAAAATGTTCTAGGTTCTTCACTGATAAAACTGCAGGTAACTTAAAGCAAATATCATCTCTTATATCATGCTTCACTCCCACTAGGTCAGTGGTCGGCAAACTGCGGTTCGCGAGCCACATGCAGCTCTTTGACCACTTGAATGTGGCCACAAAGTTTCAATCACACTGTACGTGCTCGCCTCATGTGGTATTTTGTAGAAGAGCCACACTCAAGGGGCCGCACTAGGTTATGAAAACTTTGCTCATAAATTTAAGTCATAAATTTAAAATGAGCTGTTCGGTATAACCTTTTAGATTTCTTAGTTCTGTGAGACCCAGCCCAGGAGGAAGTTATAACATTTAATGAGATGAACAGAATTAGAAGCAGAAATGGGATAGGAAATGTGGTTTACAGTTCAATCTGTTTTAGCTAGCATACTGCTGCTGTATGTTTAAACTACATTTGAGATTTACTCTATTAGAGACTAGAAATTTGTAACTGTATAGTCAATGGAGAAAGTCAGTGTTGGAATAAAGTGTCTAGTATTCCCTGAATGAACAAATGAATGAGTAGAACCATTAAGAACATCAAGGTTTTTTTGAAGGAACAGAATTAGTCAAAAGAAAATTTTCATCAAGGATTTTGAAAAAACACAAACCAATTACAGGTTCATTTTGCTTTAGTTCTCATTTACATAAAAATGCTCGAGAGAGACTTGTTACATGCTTCCCCTTGCAGAATAACCACTGTCCTAATGGCAAGCTGAGTCAATGGGTTGTTTTGTTCAAAAGGATGAAAAATGAATCAAATTAGCAAAGCAACAGTACACATTTCCTGTGTAGGCTAAGAAGCTGTAATATATTCATTTTTGTTCTGATTTTAAAACGTTTTTGTGGGCGCTAGGCACTATATCTCATGTTGCCAGCCCTAGTCCAGGTAGATGGGTAGTGATCTCTGAAAGATGCAGTTTATGTTTCAGTCGCAGTCACATCTGTAACTGAAAAATAAAATGTACATCCAAAATGAGGGGAGATTTTACCACACAGAGCACACGGTTATAGCAGAGAGGCTTAGAAACACATCTCCACAGGAAAACATTAAAGAAAGTACACCATGACAAGTTCAAGAATCATAAAGTTTACTGTTTCTTTTCCATCATTTGGCACATACCCAAGGCACATTAGAAAATTAGAAGTCATAAATTACTTTGTAGAAAAATAATCAGCCCCTCCCTTTTGTACATACACAAGTATTCCTAAGAACATGCACAAAACCTTTCCCTATTACAAAGTTATTTGAAAATGTACTCAGGATAAACCCATGTTTTGGACCTAGACCAATTAATAAAAAAATAAGAGTATAATTAGTAGAAACTCATAAAAAGGAATAAGTGGCAATAATAATTTCTAACTCAAAGTTACTCTGACCTGGTTTGTGCTGTAAGTTTTGAATCTGATCAAAAGAGAATAAATCCTTGGCTGGAGTAGCTCAGTTGGTTAGAGAGTTGTCCCCATATGCAAAAGTTGCACGTTTGATCCCTAGTCTGGGCACATACAAGACTCAACCAAAGAATACATAAATAAGTGGAACAACAAATTGATGTCTCTCTCTCTCCCTCTCTCTAAAAAAGGAGGAAAAAAAACAAAAACAAAAAACAAAACTAAGGAAAGATGTGCCAAATCTATTTTCTATTACCACCATCCTTCAAAGGTGACATTTAAGGAAAGGTTTTTAACAAAGGGATTTTGGTGCACATGTGCGGTGACCAAATAGCTCTATTTTGTTGTAAGAAAAATTATACCCACCTTTTCCCACATACATAGTGTAGAATAGGCCATATATGTCCTCCTTACGAAAATGAACATCAAAATGGCATTTAGGCATCTTTGGGTTCAAGTGTTGCTTATCAAAGGAACATTTTCCAGGTCCTATTTTCTTCATTCAAATGTGACATTTCTGCCAGGCTTCCATCTATATACATAAAAGCCTAATATGCAAAGTGTCCCTGGGGAGTTCCACGGACCAGGAGTTTGATTGCTCGCTATGATGTGCGCTGACCACCAGGGGCAGTGTGGAATGAAGGAAGGCCCTGCCTGACAGCCAGCAGCCAGGGAAGGGAGGCCCGGCCAGCAGCCAGCAGGCCCCCTACCCATGCATGAATTTTGTGCAGTGGGCCTCTAGTAGTACCATAAAACCTAAATTGCTTCTCTTCAGCTCATTGCAGATGGAGGAATTCTTTTAGCTCGTGGTTTGTTAATTTATATAGGTGACAGGTTTAGCACCTTTCAGTAGGAGGTCAGAATCTGGTGGTGAAATGTCTCACTATAACCAAGGCACCCTAATACGTAAGAATAAACAGCTCTAGTTGGGTAGTTCAGTTGGTTAGAGCATTGTCCCAACATGCCAAGGTTGTGAGTTCGATCTCTGGTCAGGGCACATACAAGAAGCAACAAACTGAAGTTTTTCTTCCTTCATCTCTCTCTAAAGCAATAAAAAAATTTTTTTAAAAGAAGAAACACCCCAGTCTTAAGGAACTGACACCCCTAGAATTTTTGTATATTCCTTTTCAAGGGTATTCATTAGCTCTGAAGAGGAAAGAGATGGAGATTTTTTTCTTTGTTGTATTCTTTGGGCCATAGGAAAGCTTTCAGGAACTTTCTGCTTTCTCTCAAGCCAAACAGAAAGTACATTTAGTTCTATGTTGTCTGTATTCATGCTCAGCATCTTCTTGTTAAGGACTCACTTCTTGATAGCAAATTTAATTCCTTATTACTATCAAGACTGGGAAATGCTAGCCTCGTGGGGAGTGGTTGGGTTGTCAGCAGTCTCTGGGCCTTCGGTGCAGCTGTGTCCTTGACAGTGTGTCTCCGGAGCATCTGCGTGTTCCCAGGAGCAGTTTGTTTCAGTCCAGGCCTTGGGCTGGTCACGGTCTCCTTTGTCAGCAGTCTGCGATGTGCTCTGGTCTGATAGGTTCTTCTGCTTCTGTGTGACTTTTTGCCTTCCTGGCTAAAGAGAAAGTACAATTTGAACAATTTGCATAGGCACTGTACTTTAAACAACCACCATGACAGTAACAGCTACCTTTGAGAGCTTATATGTGCTCAGTACTTTCCAGACATAATTTTTTTAAAATCCTCACCTGAAGATATTTTTTCCATTGCTATTTTTAAAAATATTTTTTATTGATTTCAGAGAAGAAGGGAGACAGAGAGAGAGATAGAAACATCAATGTGAGGGAGAATCATTGATAGGTTGCCTTCTGCATACCTCCTACTGGGGACTGAACCCACAACCCAGGCATGTGCCCTGACCGGGAATCGAACCCTCACCTCCTGGTTCATAGGTCCACGTTTGCCCACTGAGCCACGCCTGCCGGGCAAGGAGCTGCATTTTT